TCCAAGGGATAGCAACTGAACATGGAATGACAAGATGCAATAAGATTATATTAAAATATTTGTTTTTGTTCTAGAAACAATTTGTGCTTAAATTATCAGTTCCCTCATTAATGCTACCCAATTTTCATTTTTGAAAATTCAATCTTTTATTTCCATATGTTTTTTTCTCTCAAGTATAGAAAACATTTTCAAAATTACTGGACTAAATTTGAATAATTTTTTTTCATTTTTCTTTATTAAGAAATTTTCTACCTACTCTACATACCACCCACAGATCCCACCTCCTACCTCTTCTCACCCCCCAGCCCTCTCTTACAAGCCACCACACATCCCAACATCCCCCAAATGAAGGTCTCCCATGGGGAATTAGCAGAGCCCAGCACACTGAGCCTAGGCAGGTCCAAGCCCCTTCCAACTGCACCAAGGCTGCCCAAGGCATCACACCACAGGCACCAGATTCCCAATGGCCTGCCCATTCACCAGGGATGGATCCTGATCCCCCTGCCTGGGTGCCTCCCAAACAGTTCGAGCCAAACTACCATTTTCCATATCCAGAGGGCCTAGTCCAGTCCCATGGGAGCTCCAAAGCCACTAGTATACAGATCATGTGCTTCCTCTAGTGTGACCATTCATCTCTGCATGTCTTTCCATCATGATATAGATGTCCCCTGATTGCAGAATCCCTCCTCTCTCTCATCGATTGAATTCCCAGAGCTCAACCTGGTGCCTAGATGTAGATCTCCGCATCTGCCTCCATCAGTCACTGGACAAAGACTCTATGATGACAGTTAGGGTATTTACTAGACCGATCACCAGAGTAGACCAGTCCAGGCACCCTCTGGACCACTGCCAGGAGTCCAAGGTGGGGTATCCTTGTGGATTCCTGAGAGACCCCCAGGAACCTTCCTATTCCTATTCCTATGATGCCCTCATCTATCGTGGTATCTTCCTCCCTGCCCTCCCACTCTGTCTCTGTTCCAGCTTGACCCTCCCATTTCCCTATGTTCTCATCCCCGACTCTTTGCCCTCTGCCACCCCCTACACCCAGTCCACTCATGTAGATCTCATCCACTTATCCTTTGCTGCGTCGTCCATGTCTCCCACAAAGGGTCTTTTCTTGTTAGATAGCCTCTCTGGAGCTGAGGGTTGCAGTCTGGCATCCCTTCCCTCACATCTGGTATCTACTTATGAGTGAGTACATACTATGTTTATCCTTCTAAGTCTGGGTACCTCACTCAGGATGATATTTTCTAGTTCTACCCATTTGCCTGCAGACCTCATGATGTCATTGTTTTTCTCTGCTGAGTATCCTAGGTTTTTGTTTTTCCATGTAAAGTTAAGTATTGTTATTTCCACGTCTGTGAAGAATTGTGTTGGGATTTTGATGGGGATTGCATGGAATCTGTAGATTGCTTTTGGTAAGATTGCCATTTTTACTATGTTAATTCTACTTATCCATGAGCATGGGAGATCTTTCCATTTTCTGATATCTTCTTTGATTTCTTTCTTTAGAGACTTAATTCCCCCCCCCTTTGATGTGTATTTCTCTCTTATCCATTTCTTTTTTCTTTTTCCCCATTTTTATTATTATTTCATTTTATTTTACAATACTATTCAGTTGTAAGTAACAGCCACAGATTTCCTTGTTCTGCCCCTTCCTGCTCCCCTCTTCTTCCCCCCAGCACACCCCCCATTCCCACCTCCTCCAGAGCAAGGCCTCCCCTGAGGACTGAGATCGACCTGATAGACTCAGTCCAGGCAGGTCCAGTCCCCTCCTCCCAGATTGAGCCAAGTG